TAAGAAAAAAAAAAGTCACAAAGAAGTGAAAGGCTCAGAGCTACTGTTAAAACAACTAAAGCTGGGTGGCGGTGGCAGCACACACTTTAATCCAGCACTTGGTAGGCAGAGTCAGCCAGGACTACACAGAGAAACCCTGTCTTCTAAAAAAAACAAAACAAAACAAAAACATTAGCAATAAACTGAGAGCCTGAAAGACTAGATTAGGAAGTCCCAGCACGGGCTGGGGAGATAGGAGGACAGTCACTGGGTAAAGTGCTTGTTATGCAAGTATGAGGACATGAGTTTGGATACCCAGAACCCCATGTAAAGCTGGACAGAGGCCTGTCTGTAACCCCATGAGACAGGAGACAGGAGAATCCCTGGAAGCTCATAAGCCAGACATCCTGGCATAAGCAGCAGTGAAACAGACATCCTGTTATAAACAAGATGGAAGAGATGGAAAACCAACACTCACTACTGTCCTCCTCTGACCTCTGTATGTATGCTATAGCACACATACACGCACCGCACACACAGACTGTACACACAATAAAGGCAACCAACTTGTCATCTCTGTGGTATGAACAAGTTAAGTGCAGGCTTAGTGGGCACTTAGACCACTGAAGTGGGTGACAGGGTGACCACGCAATGAAAGGGGGGGGGTACCCTCAGAGCTAGTCCAAGCCAAGCCCTCCTACCTACTTAAAACCCAATCAGGGCACTGCAGGTGCAGATATCATCCCAGAAGCGATGACTCACGTAGGATTCCAGGTTTCCAGAGCATGCCCAGCCTTCTCCCCAGTATTAGCTGATACCCGGAATGAGTTCTCCTGGGAATGAGCTAACATCAACACCCAGGGAAGAAGGGAAAGAATTAAAATACATGCAAGTTCAGGTAGGCCTCAAAGGGTTTAGGAATAAAGGCCCAACATGGAAGACATTGCCAAAAGAATCCTGAGACTGGAAAATGAACAATGGGGGGCGGGGGGGAAGGATGGCTCAGGTCTGTAAGGGAGGGAAGCACAGCAGAACAAGAGTTCAGAATCAGCCACACAGCAAGATTCATCTCATAAAAAAAAAAGAAAAAGAAAAAAAAAACCAAAAAACCAGCAAACAAGGACCAGAGAGATGGCCCAGAGGTACAGTGCTTGCCTAAAAGGAAGAAAAAGCAAATCTCTCAGTAATTATTATCCAAAAGGTCCCCATAGGGAACTACTCATTCATTTCAATCTCAGTATACCAACAATTAATTCCATTACTCAATAAACACCAGGTCCTGCGGTTCCTGCTAAAGCGCACAGGTAGCAGCAGCCCAGAAGCCCAGCAGAAGGCTCTGGTAGCTGAAACCACTTGATTTTTCCACTACTCTCTTGTTGCTGTATCAGACAGCGAATGGGTGCTTACTCCCCAGAGAGGCCGGCTACTGTAAGTATGCTGGGGACAGCAAACAAGGAGTGCTTCTCTCTTGGCTCTGCTGGAACTCCCTGTTAATTTCCTACCAGTCCAGATAATTTCAAAGGTCTTCACACCTCCTCAAAGTGCCCATCAGAAGCCTAAATTTAGTTCATGCAAACCAGGGCAAGCAAGAACATTCAGATCTCAAGGGTCACTCAAGATGATGAGAATTTCCCAATCTTCAGGTTATATACCCCACCCCCAAAATGAGTCACGGTGTGTAGAGCTTTCTCTTCTGCACAAAACAGTGTCCCCCACCCGAAGCCAGTAGTGTCTAAATCAACATTATTGTGAGTACATCTCTTGGAGCATGACAGATCAAGTGTCTATAACAGCAAGGAATTTCAGGGCATTACTGATACAGCAGGACTTAACCCAGTCTGGCACTGGGTTGTATTTCAGAATAAAGGCAGCTATAACAAATGTCAGCTGGAAAAGTGCCCCATCACACAAAGCCGCCTGCAGAGGAGCTGTCTTCCCTTTATGTCAGGAGCTACTGGGTGGGAGATGCTCTTTATTATTATTATTATTATTATTATTAATTATACTTTATTCATTTTGTATCCCCCCATAAGCCCCTCCCTCCTCCCCTCCCAATCCCACCCTCCCTCCCCTTTTCTGCATGCATGCCACTCCCCAAGTCTACTGTTAGGGGAGGTTCTCCTCTTCTTTCTGATCTTAGTCTATCAGTTCTCATCAAAAGTGGCTGCATTGTCCTCTACTGTGGCCTGGTAAGGCTGCTCCCCCCTCAGGGGGGAGTGATCAACGAGCAGGCCAGGGAGATGCTCTTTATCCAAAACAAACACTCACTGAAAGTGGCAGAATCAAAGAACTGAACAATAAGAAAAAGAAAAAAGCCTGACCAGCACCCTCTTCCACCACTGGAGGAGGGCTGTATCCCTAGTTACTCCAATCAAGCACCTTCTCTCACTAGGTTAGCTAAGCCAGGCTCCTCTATGATCTGCAATCCAATTGTTTCTTTAGTCCTGTCATCCCTTTGCAAATTCTGAATGACAGAAATCAATTCTTACAGCCATTTCCATATGCAAACCAACCTGACTCTAGAGACCTAAAGGCTGTCCACATCACCAGCCACTTGCTGGCAGTAAAGATTAAAACAACAATGCCAGACTGGGGGCAGTGGCACATGCCTGTTAATCCTGCACTCTGGGAGCCAGAGGCAGGTAGATCTCTGTGAGTTCGAGGCCAGCCTAGTCTACAAAGTGAGTCTTAAGACTGCCAAGGCTACACAGAGAAACTCTGCCATAAAAAAAATCAGATAGATAGATAGATAGATAAAAAACACCCCCAGGCTCCCTCCAAGAAAAAGGCTTGGTGCCTGAAGGTATTTTTTCTTAAGCTGTCTTCCCCAGCACTCAAAAGTCCACACATCACCTTTTGTTCTTTGCCCATTTGTTTCAGAGTTTGTAGATCTTTTTGGTCCAATTAGAAAATTAGGATAAGGAGAAATTATTGTACTGCCTGGCATATACAGCTGCAAGCAAAGCTACATACTCCTTTCTAATTATGACAGGCTCAAATAAGACTTTTGGTAATAATGCCCTCATTTTGACACACTAGCACACATTCATTTAAAAACTTTTATTTTGGGGTTTGGGAATTTAGCTCAGTGGTAGAGCGCTTGCCTAGCAAGCACGAGGCCCTGGGTTCGGTTCTCAGCTCTGGGGGAAAAAAATAACTTATTTTCTACCAGTTGTAAACACATTTCTTTGAACTCAAAAAAAAAAAAAAAAAAAAAGCCTTGGGTATATTGGCCTTTATCTTAGAAAATTAGCTTTAGATTCTATTCGCAGCAGGAAAGCCTGTGGGGGCTTAAGCGTGGTAGAGAAATTAGAAAACAATGAGGAAACTGATGTCAAAGCCAGCCTACTTCTTGCCAACAGCATTCTTAGCACAGCTCTAACAAGGCTTAGATGTCAGGGCAGGCCAGTCTGACCCAAAAGCGTAAAAAAACCGCATTCTACCATAACTTATGATGTAAATTTGTTACCAAATCAGCCTGTTTCAGCATTAAAGATCCAACTGTCTTCTCTTGGCATGGTCTGTTTGGACAACCACTTCCACACTTCCGAGTGGCTTATAAGACAATTTCCATGTGATGTTACCCTGGGCTCCCTCTGCATTTAATCTGATACAGAAAATCTGCCCCCAGATCCAACTCCTTAAACGGACTCCATCCAACCAATTCAGAGACGAAGCCTCAAATACGAACGTTACTATTGATCGCCCCACTTACACAGATTTCACTAGCTATAAATATCAGTCCAAGAGAAGCTGACACATCAGAGGCCAGTAAAAAGCACCCTGTCGAGGGATCTGGAAATCAAGGCCACCCAAAAAAAGCTTTTGTCATTCAAGCACACCAAACAACAGCCTGAGGCTTTTTACTTCCCCAAGTGAAGCTCAAAATAGATTTCAATTCTCCAGCTGATGGGTCTCACCCGCTGTCTTTTGAACCTATAAGCCGAAAGCAGAATAAACGGCCTGCTCTCTTTGCACAAGGAACAGGATTTATTTTGCACATGCTTATTTAAGACGCCGGGCCAGTGTAGTTTTGGTTAATCCCCACAACCCCCGCACTGACATTTAATCAGAAGACTTACTTTCTTTAGAGGACTTAGCTACTTGTAGAGACATCTTTGCTTTTTCAATTCACTGTTTCATAAATAAACCACCAGAACCCCTAAGGTGGATCAGATCTCAAAAAACAGGGTCATCGCAGCCCACGATCAAAGATAAAAGACGCTCATCAAGAAAACAGGCCATTTGGAAAGGGTTAAAAACCACCTCACTTCCCTGTCTAGAGGAGGGTTTGGTAGCTGGAGGAATGGGTTCTGTGTCCCCCTTGTTAGTCGCCTAACCTCATGGCTTGCCGCACCTTGTTTTGTTCCGAAAGCCAAGTCTTATCTAACAGCCCTGCCGTGACCCCTTCTCCAAGGCAGCAGGTTCTTTGGGCACAGTCACCCTCCACCTTAACAGGTCTTTCTCTTCCCAATACTTGTCGCCAGCTGCCAACGATCTGTATATGAACGTCGGTACGACTCCAAGCCTGTCTAGGGGTAGGGTAGATCCACAGTGGCGTTCAACACACACCATCTCCAATGCCTAGTGACGAACAGACTCTCCAACTCACGTCCAACAAATGAATGGACAGGAAGGAGTAAGGGGGCTGTCGTCCTGGGGCCTCCCGCACGACCGCACACCGAGGCCCGAGGAAAGGAAATGTGTCCGGGCGGGAGGGTGTCGGCGAACCCACCCCCTCCCCGGGAGACAAAGGAAGAGGGCCTGAGGTGGTCCGGTCCAGACAAGGAAGCAGCAGGGGTGTGGACCAGTGGGGACAAAGGGTGGCTGGGCCAGGTTGGGGTCGGGCTGGAGGGAGGGGCTCGGAGAGGGCACGAAACGAGGAGAGATAAAGGCGGGTGGGGGTGTCGCAGGGCCCGCGAGCCCCAAGCGGGGTCTTGGGCGGCGGAGCCGCTCGACAGGGGTAGCCTGAGCCGAGAGGGCCGGGGAGACGACGCGGCCTAGGGGCCCCGGCTCCGCACCTGGTAAATAGCCGCCCAGCTCCCGGACTTGTCGATCTGCTCGAACTCCTTCTCTATCTCCATGGCGAGCCCGGCCGGCTGCCCGAGTTCCCTCGGCCGTCTGCCCCGCTAGGCCGTGTCGCTCCGTGTCCCGAGGCCCGCCGCCCGCCACCACCGCAGCCCCAGCCTCCCGAGCCGCGGCTTCTGCATGTCAAGCCGGCAGCCGGAAGTGCGCACCCCGCCTCACCGCGAGCTCCGCCCCCTGTACGGCAGGACCAGTCAGAGAGCGAGTCAGCTTGCCGGCACTTCCGCGGGGGCGGGGCCAGGGCGGGGCTTAATGGGAGAAGCCTGTGCCAGAGGAGACGACCGGCTCGAGCCCGCCGCGCGCCGCTTCCCGGGTTTCGCGCTCCGGTGGGCGCGCGCCCGTTGCCCAGGCGACCTCCGGCGATGCGCCCACAGCGTGTGGGCCGAGGCGAGGTTGGTGGGATCTCGAGTTCGAGCCTCATGCTTGCCGGTTGGTCACGCGGCGAGGGCGTGGCCTCGAGCTAAGCGGTTGCGGGGGAGCGGTATTTCCTGTCCCATTCTTCTATTTTGTTTTTGTTTTTTGTTTTTTCGAGACAGGGTTTCTCTGCGTAGCCCTGGTTGTCCTCAGTAGATCAGGCTAGTCTCGAACTCATAAATCCACCTGTTTCCTTTCCCGAGTTCTGGGATTAAAGTTGTGCACCACCACTTAAGAGCTCCGTTCTTCTTTATTTTTAACTCAGGGTGGTACTATCCCAGGCTGGCCTCCCACTTGCTGTCAGGCCAAGGATAACCTCCAATTTGCTGTCAGGCCAAGGATGAGCCTCCTGCCTCCACCTCCCATGTCCTGGAATGCATTGCGGGGGATGAAACCAGAGCTCTCTGCATGCTGGGACGCGTGTTAGGCCGCATCCCCAGGTTCCTGTTTGTTTTAGACAGTGAGTCACTCTGTAGCCCGAGCTGGCCTGGAATTCACTCTGTAGCTCAGGCTGGCCTCCAGCTCCAGATCTGCCCGCCTCAAGTCTCCCAAGTTTCTGACAAGTGCTAACATCCTACTGTCCACCCTGCTCTCATAAAACTTTGGAGAGTTCATGAGATTTCTGCCCAGTTAGTATGAATGAAAGGATGGGATCTGTGCTGATTTTCTCTCCTTTCCACAGAATCATGAAAATCCTGACCACATGTGGTGGCACTCGCTTTTAAACCCTGCACTCTCCAGGCAGAGGCAAGGGGGGTCTCAGTTCCAGGCTAGCCTGGTCTGCATAGTGAGTTCCAGGACAGACAGTGAGACCCTGTCTCAAAACAAACAAATGAACAAAACAACAACAAAAAAGTAAAGTCTTCCTTAGGGCTGATGGTGGCCCACAACTACCATAATTCCAGTTATAGGCCCTCCTCTGACCTCCAAGGTCATGGGACACACATGTGATACATACTGCTGTGCATACAAAATGTTCATACAAATAAATCTAAAAACATCTTTAAAGGAAAAAAAAAATCTTCCTCACTGAACTCATCCAGTGGCAATTTCTGTGGTGTGTTCAGACTGCTGAGGGTGAGACTTGAAGGTTGGCCCGGAAGCATGGGCTTCTGAGAAGCTTGACTGGAGCCTGGACTTATAACCGCCCACTCTGGGCTCAACACGTGACAGAAAGAAAGCCTGCAATGGGATTAGCACCCTGTGCCCAGCACTAGCTCCTGGTGTGGTAGAGTGAATTCCAGCTTGCTCTTGGGGTGCTGGGGTAGGCAATGTGCCTGGCAGGCGAAGCCCCTATTTTCATTTATTCTCCACAACTACCCTCTCAGGGAGGCATTTTGATTCCTACCTTAGAGCTGACAAAAGCAGGGCACAACAGAGACAAGGCACTTGCCCAAGGCAGCATTGCCAAGTTGGGCTAACAGCTGAACAAGTCTGTAATCCTAGCGCTTGAGAAGCTGAGGCAGGAGGATCACCAATAATTTGAGGCCAGCCTGGTCTACGTAGTTAGTTGCAGGTACAGGGTGAAAACCCCGTCTCAAAAAGCCACGAACAAAGCAGTCTTGTGAATGGGAAGGGAGGCTGGCTTCCAGCCTGATCTTTGGAGAATTTATTACATAGGAGCCAGGTTGCTAGGTCCAGACTTGGGGTTTTAAGGACCCATGACGTAGCCTGGGGTGTGTTCCTGGTAAGTTCTGCATCTTGGCTTTCTCTGCTATGAAAGAAAAGAGTGCCTACCTCAAAAGAGGCAGATGAATTCATCTCATGGACTTACTATAGCAAGGAACTCAGTCACTTTTCAAATGGTAGCAAACGGGTAGGCAGATGAAATTTTTTCCCATTAAAATTAATTATATATATGCCACAGCACTCTTTGAGGTCCTAGGACATCTTGCTAGAATTGATTTTCTCCTTCCCATTGTGTGAGGCCCAAGGATCAAACTCAAGTCAACAGACTTGGCAGCAAGCAGCTCTACCCAGGGAGCTAGCTAGCCAGCCCATTCATTCTTGCTGAATAAAGACAGCTGGTCTGCTAAACAATATTATTAGAAAGAGAGTGATCCTTTAAGAGAAAATTAAGGGTGACGATTATTCTGGTGAAAATTTTGGAACCCCACCTTTGGAGGAGTCCCCCTGTCTGTCTGATGCACATTTGAGGAGTAAAGGTGGCTCTTTCACGCCCTTCTACCTAAGTTACGTAGATGAACGAATCCAGTGCCCAATCTGGGCCCACATGCTGCTCGGGCTTGCCGGTGACCCCCAGTGACCGGACACGCATTCCCACCGCCGTCTTTCCTGCGGTGCTCAGGCTGCAGCCCAGGGCCCCCACCTGCTAGGCAGCCCACTCCAACCCTAACTACACGCCCTGCCCCTCTTTTTACTTTTTCATTTGACACAGTTTCACTAAAGTGCCTTGGTAGGCCTTGACCTTTTGATCCTCCTGCCTCAGCCTGTGAGTAGCTGGGATGACAGGCCTGTGGACAGGTCCAGTCCTTCAGTGTTCACAAAGCCCCAGAGTTGACTGGCATGGTGGTACTCCTTCTGATGTGCGGGGCCCCTTCTCTGCTTCCTCTATCTCTGAGAGGCTGTCTTTCCTTGGCTATGTCTCATCACCCTGGCCTTACTTTCGCATGGGCTCTCTGGCTCCTCCTGTCAAACAAACCTCCCTGTCTCATTCTGTAAGAACACTTGTCATTGTGTCCCAGACGGATGTGGCCCGTCCAGTGATCTAGAACTCCTCCTGAGGCCCCTTCGTCAAAGACTTATGCATGCAAAGACTATTTTCCCAAATAAGGTCACATTGGTGATGTGACTTCTTCGGGCCCTTCCTTAACCCACTGATGAAACCCCGTGAACGAGTCTGTAAAGGAGAGGCTAAGTTTCAGGGTGTCTCTTGTCTGCTTTCCACATACCAGCACCAGAGAGTCTCAGTAAATGAGTAATTTTTCACATACACACATTGGCACATGCACGTGCGCACGCGCTCACAGGCAATCGCATACAAGCATGTATGCACTTATACGAACCCAGAACCCGAGAAACGCACACATGCACACTTCAATAACTGTGTACATTTTAACAACTAAAGATCCACCCCTACCCTGGCTCCCATACACAGGTGATCCTGGTGACAGGCCCCATCTGCCTCTTCACCCCGTTTCCGTTGTTGACTTCCTTCCAGTCTGGGAGCCCTCCCACCCCACCTGGCTGGTTTCCACCACAGGACATGTGTACCATCCAGGCCTAACCAGAAAGAGCCCTCTGTCTGTGCATCTTCTCTCCCTTCAGAGCTCCCCCTGGGCGTCACTTCTCCAGGCAGGTCTCCCGACTGCAGCCAAAGCCTCCCGTCTTCCTCTGAGGGCGCCTGTTCGCTGGCTGTCTCCTGGCAGTCCCGTTCCAGCCCGTCCCTCCCATATTCTAAGCACCTGACATTTGCTGGGAAGAGAGACTTCTGTGACCCTGAGTGTCAGCTTCCCTGAAGCCCTGTGGACAAAGCCAGCCCTGCCCTGGAGGCTCACTGCAACCTAGCGATGGTGGCTGATTAGAAAGTAAACAAAGTGGCTACCCGACACCGTGGCTAAAGCCCTTTCTGGTCAGGCAAGCCTGTGAAATGCTTAACTGTTCTCACTCAGGTTCTCGGCTTTCTCTTCACAGATTCCACTAAGGCGGCGATTCTTAACCTGTGGGTCACAAGGGTGGTGGTGGGGGGAGTTGTCAAATGACCCTTTCACAGGGGTCGCCTAAGACCATTGGGAAACACAGATATTTACTATTCATAACAGTATCAAAATTACAGTTATGAAAAATAAAAATAATTCTATGGTTGGGGGTCATCACCACATGAGGAACTGTATTAAAGGGTTGCAGCATCAGGAAGGTTGAGAACCGCTGGTCTGAGGGAACAAGTCAATATGTCAAGTCAGTGATCAGTCGACTTTTTAATCATCCCGGGACTTGCAGGTAGAGCAGGACAGCTGTTTTCAAAGCACAGGGCTGGTGCCGACGCCTAACCTATCGAGGTCAGCAAGTGGCCTGGACAGCAGGGGTGATGGCACACAGCTCAGAGCTTAGGATCCGAAGTAACAGTCAAGCTAGGATTCTAACGCCGCTTCATCTAGAAGGTCTCCGCTCCTCTCCTGATAACGCCCACCCCAACCCTGTCCCTTTGCAGTGTACCATGACATCACACATGTGCTTGGTGTGTTTGTCATCCATCCCCTCTTGGCCACTGACCATGAACTCTGTGAATAAGTGGGGCTGAGTTGTGTTGCCCAACATCATCTTCCCTGAGCTGGAAGTCTGCAAGTCATTTTCCCCCAACCCCCCACAAGTCCTTGGAAGGTTTACAGGTCAGGATGACAAGGGCTTCTTGGCCTGTCATAGACTGAGTCCTTTGGAATGTCCAACTCGGGGTGCTGGGAGCCGACAGGCGGGAGGGCGTGGCCCTGCCTCCCGGAGCTTCAAGGCTGTGTGTTCTAGCACAGCTGGGCACCTGGACTGCTTGGCAGGCCAGTCCCTGAGATGGAGTTGCCGGTGGGGGAAGCCGATGTGCTGGCAGCAGGAGGCGTGGGCTTCGGCCTGCAGGCACTGGGGCACCAGGTAAACTCCCCAGTCCTTTCAAGTCCTTCAAACTGTCTCACTTTGTCAGGTGAAGACAGCTGCTGCTCAGAGAGAGGAAAGAGGCACAGTCCGT